TAGAGAACCTGAAATAGAAGTAGACCTTGTCAAAGCCATAAAAGAATGTGTTAACCGAAAAGTCAAAACCGGATTATTAATTAACCCCCCTCTTTGCATGTATGACTCTTTAAATTAGTAAAGATTCATTCCAATCTTACAAGATAAATTCAGAAGCTCGTCGATGAATCTTGTCTTAACTAAAGTTGAAGTCGAAAATATAAAAGAATATTTGCAACAACAAGAAATAATAAAGAACTACCACAAAGGTAAAACCAATCATTCAGAGTTTTCAAAGCTGACCTGGCCCTTTCCAAACGATATTATTGGCCTAAAATGAGAGAACACATTAAGAAATATATTAATGAATGCACCATATGTGGCCACGCTAAGTACGATAGGAAACCTATAAAGCCTCAATCCAATATCGTTCCCCCCGCTACCAAATCTTTCGAGATTATCCATATGGACATGTTCACAGTACATAATAAAAAGTATCTCACATTTATAGACGTATTCTCCAAATATGCTCAAGCGTATCATTTAAGAGACGGAACAGCATTGAGCATTTTACAAAGCCTACTTACCTTCTGTACGCATCATGGTCTTCCTCTTACTATTGTCACCGACAATGGGACCGAATTTACGAACCAGCTATTTACTGATTTCGTACAATTACACAAAATTAATCATCATAAAAAATTAGCCCACTGTCCTAATTGAACAAGTGCAGCCAACGGGAACATAGAGCGGTTCCACTCGACTATACTGGAACATCGGCGAACCCTAAAACTACAAAAAAAATATGAGCATGTAGTAAACCTAATGCCCTATGCTATCTTATGATACAACAGTTCTGTGCACAGTTTTACTTACGATATTGTCAATGAACATTTCAACCCTAGAGACCCAATTGACATCGACTTGACAAAACATCTACTGCAGCAATACATACTAACACACCGAGATCAAATGAAAACAGTGTATGAAATAATTAACGAACATTCTTTATCCGAACGTTCAGCACTAATAAATAATCGGAATAAATCGCGGGAACCAGAAGTTGAAAACCAACCAAACCAACAAGTTTTCATTTCCAACCCCCTAGCTAGCCAACAAAAATTGGACCCACGTCTAGGAAACGCGGTCCGATAGGGAAGTATAGACTTAAACGTGTACCTAAAAAGCCGAATTGTTACAGGACTCTAAAATTACCAACTGTACTGACCGTGCTAACGAACGAAGCCCAGGAGATAAAACTTGAAACGCTTGAAGACGGACCAGGTCTACCATTTAGACTTGAACCATCGACTCCCATAACTCACTATCATACATTTCTGCAATATGTAAAATTTGACGACATCAGAGACAAAGTAACCCTATTGCAGGTACAGAGCTACAGAACTACGAGTACAAGAACAGAATTGATAATGACACCAACTTACTGTATGAATTGCAAATGGACTATCTTTATAGCAAATTAGACAAAGTATTGATACAAATAAATAGTTCAAAGCCCAGTCGCACTAAGAGAGATCTAGTAGATGAATTAGGCTCAGTGATCAAATGCGTAACCGGTAAATTAGAATATTTAGATGCCGCGAAATATAATAATGCCATAAAAGTTTTGAAGGATAACCAAAATAGGATCGAATCAGAACTTAATAGTCACATTAGCATTAGTAAGGAGTGGATGTTGCAACATAATAGTGTAATATCCCAGAAAATTGAAAATGAAAACAAAATTAACTCCACACTTATCCAGTTATTAGATAGAGCCGTTTATAGATATACTAGTAGTAACCTCATGAAATATGCTAAGTTTGCCCAAATCATAACAATTTTAACAGAAAATATCGATGATATGCTCAATGAGCTTAATAGGATAGAAAATATATTAGCATTTAGAGTACCCACCATTCTACGTTAAGTGTTAAAGTAATTAAGTCCATGTTAGTAAGATTAAGGCTTTATACGAGGGTGGATTGAAAAGTACTCGGCCTAACACAGATCCATTCAATTCTAAAAATCAAATCTAACCACATTATTTAGTTCAGTTCAGACTAGTTCATTGTGTGAAGTTCGAAACGTGTGCGATAATTAGTTGTGATTTTATAAATTTATTAACAAAGTAATCGGACATAATTTCCGCGAATGGAGCAAATCGAGCAGCGTGCCGTCATTAAGTACCTCCATAAGAAGGGGCTATCATCAAAAGCCATCCATGATGACATGGTCAGTACATTAGGCGATTGTGCTCTGTCATATTCATCCGTCAAAAAATGGATAGCAGAATTTAAGCGTGGTAGAGAGAGTGTGAAAGATGAACCCCGCTCTGGAAGGCCTTCGACGTCAACTACTGACGAAAATATTAAAAAAGTACTTGATTTAATAATGGGAGACCGCAGATTAAAAATTAGAGAGATAGCCGAGATTATAGGCATCTCTTATGAACGAACTCAAAACATCATTGTCAACGAGTTGGGTTTCCACAAGGTGTCTGCGAGGTGGGTTCCGCGACTGCTTTCAGTTGAACAAAAAAGGACGCGATTGACTATTTCACGCGACTGTTTGGAGTTATTTGAAGCCGATGCAGATGATTTTTTGAATCGTTTTGTTACTATGGACGAAACATGGGTTCATTACTGTACACCGGAAACAAAACAACAATCAAAACAGTGGAGAAGACCTGGTTCACCACCCCCTAAAAAGGCTAAGTCGATTTTGTCGGCAAATAAGGTGATGGCTTCAGTATTCTGGGACTCGAAAGGTGTGATTATGATTGATTATCTTGAAAGGGGTTAGAATATAAACTCTGATTACTACTGCACCTTACTACGTCGTTTACGAGAGGAAATAAAAGAAAAACGTCGAGGAATGCTCAGAAGAAAAGTCCTGTTTCATCAAGATAACGCCCGTGTTCACACGTCAGTACAGTCAATGGCTGAAATTCACAACTGTGGCTTTGAACTGTTACCGCATCCGCCGTATTCACCTGATCTGGCATCATCAGACTTCTTTCTGTTTCCTAACCTAAAAAAGCACTTGGGAGGTCAAAGGTTTTCGACAAACGACGAGGTCAAAGCAGCTGTAGACGCATATTTTGACTCTAAGGAAGAATCATTTTTTTTCAACGGTCTAAATGCTTGGAAGGGGAGGTGGCAAAAGTGTATTGAACTTGATGGTGATTATGTAGAAAAATAAAAATATAACTGATTTAGTATTTGTTTATTTTCTTGGTTAGGCCGAGTACTTTTCAATCCACCCTCGTAATAAGGACATGTATTAAGTTTAAAGACTAGAGAATATTAAGTTATCATTAAGTCAGGTTATTATTTCACAGAAAATCAAATAGTAATTGTTCTAAAATTCGCTGTTCTTTCCAAAGACACCTTCGACCTATTCCGCTTATCCATTGTATCTAACAAAAACCACCAATCTATTATTACTCCCTATCCTTTAATAACAACTTATAGACAAAAATTCGTGTGCATGGAGACAGAATATCCGAAGTTGAGTAATCGGTACCTATGCGAATAGGAAACGAACACCCAAATTCCAACACAATCCGACTCTTTCCATACCCTCATCAATCAGTCTATAGCAAAATCCTGTAAGATAACTGATATCGCACTATCAACAGAAGCCATGGAACGTCGTGACGACAAGCACTACACCATCTCTTTCCCTCAACCAACTAACGTTCATGCAGTATGCGGGCGTGAAGACATTACTACATTACAGGGTAGTTACTTAGCCACAATACCAATTAATTGCTTCCTGCGAACACAAGAATTTACCATCACTAATATTGGCGATCAAATAGAAGGCCATCACCTTAAAATGTAAATACCAATGGATATAAACGCAAAAGGCATCCCAGCGATACCATGAATCAGCCTTAATACAATCAACCTGAAAGGACCACGCAACCCAGGACACCTCATGATGCAACCACTACTTTGTCCGAGAGAGATGCATCTCCTAACTTTATATCACACTACTAGTTTTAAGCCGTGTTATCAAACGTAGTAGTATTCGCTTGCATAATCTCAATTCGTTACTACTAAAAGACTAAGAAGCAAGAACAGATCCAGAATAACACCCAACATAACTACGAAAAACCCGAAGAATCTAAAGTCGAAAAGGCATTACCAGCAACTATTTCTCTCAGTTCTCAAATAGTTGTTGATCTGAGGGTGGAGAAGTTATAACGTAGCCTCATAAGTAAAGAGCCTACACAGCAGTGACCCGGATACATTGCAGCGGCACGAGGCGCAACTCAGCAGAACGTGAGCATTGACATCAACGGATGCAATCGAAGCTCTGCAATATACCTTTACTTTATTTTATTGTAATAATTAAAATTCATTCTACATCTAGCATATCGATCTGATTCATTTCTATTTTAGTTGTAGTAATTATATTGTAATTTTTATATTATAATAAAGTATTTTAAAATAGTTTTTTTTGGTCCTTCGGCTGCAGTTAACGTAATTCACCGGCCATGTTTAGTTTGGGCGCTGGGTTACCCAGGTATGTATCAATACAAGCATTAAAATCTAACCATCGCGAGATCACAAGATCACAAGCGATAAGTACTAAACGCTCACCAACATGTGAATGCGTCGCACGTGTCCTTTGATTTGTATTTAAAAACCGACACTCAACCGGAACGGCGTTAAACACCAACGTTTACACGCTTGTGTTTATGGACGATTGCCGAGACTTATTCAGATTCATGCCGTATTCAGATTTCCTTGACGGCCAAGTATATAATTTCAATAAATAAAAGGATTCACATTCTGATTTCTGGGAACAGCTTCTGAGGTAGGTACTAAGATTATGAATATTATTTTTCAACGACAATCTGTGCAACCTCATTGAAAATTATTTTCACTTAGACAACGTCAAAAAACGATCCCACAGTGCATTGATAAATAACCGTCAAAAGAAATAAAATGTAAACTTTAAACAATGAATACCCCAATAATTCATTTACCAGCCATATTTTTCTTTGAATGGAATTAAAGCACGAATTGTCCACATTATCCCTACTAAAATTGATTTCATTTCTGTTTTGGAGTGGACTATACTTACAGTGGGCGGTAGATACAGAGCACAGTCCTGAATATTGTTCAAGAGTGGTGACGCTACTCCACGGATTAGTAGCGTCATGCGTAGGCCTAGCACAATGTGGTTTAAAAACGTTTTCGCCGAGCTCGCTAACACGTAAGCGTCATTAATACAAAAATATTACAAATGTGGAAAATTGATTTGCTCTTTTTGCCTAGCGTTGGGACACAATGTATCCATTACGTAATAGGGACTTTCAAATAGTCTGGAGCGCGCTCCGTGAAGTTCCGAACTACACATATGAGCGTACTCTGATGTTACGACTTGGCACGTGCTTCAATCTCCAATTTTTTCTACAAAATAGGGCTTCCTGTCGGCGCTCTGATCAAAATGCTGGCAATGTGACGTGCTTATCAAACTGCACGTATTAAAATGTTTTAACAGTTTTGCGCACAGTTCGGTGTGGCTCGTAGTGTCTCTAGGACTCTAGGTTATTACAATTTCTGCCTTGCGCAGGCGCTTCAACAGCAGACGTAATTGCAGTAGCTGTATCTGGTATTATAGCTAATAACAGGCATATATCGTAGCAAGATAGTAGTGTACCTGTGGCTTAGTTAGTTGTATCCCTGCTTACGAACGAGTCCCGGGTTAGATCTTTATCTTCATTCACAGTACGTTCTCCACGTGTTCAAAACGTGTGTGCTTGCGCGACTGAGTGCCATTTTAGATTTCTGTTCCTCTTGTTCTGCTTAGTAGTCCTTAGGGTAGGTTCACACTCTTACTTATATCTACCGCCAAATAGCAGTGATTACACTGAAGTGTTCCGATCTGAAGGATATAGAGAGTCAGTATAATTACAAGCCATGAGACATTCCGCCTTAGTCCTCAGAGTTCACACTTGACAACGCATCTGTGTGCTCTTCTTTGTTTGAAGCTGGCAGCAGGTTTTTTTACGTGGTATAGTCATGCTGCAGCTATATTAATAGTATAGTTGTAGCTCGAATGGGTCGGCGCGACCGGGGAAGGATCACGCTCTCACAGAATACCAGCGTAAAATAGCAGCTTAACACTGCTGTGTTTCGTATGGTGAGTGTAGAGAACCGGAGACCCTTTTTACTGTAAAAGAGGTATTCCATCTTAGTCCTCACGGGTGACAACGCATCTACATATTGATTCGCAAACGAGGATAGATATAGATGTATATGGGCCACAGCAACCACTTACCATCAGGTGGACTGTGTGCTCGTTTGTCACCCTATCCTATAAAAAAAGCAGGTTTACATAGACTATAGCCACTTATCATCAATGTGTACTATAAAATCGTTTGTCTCTTCATTTTTTTTTAAATTCACACTGCGCGTCAGAGTGATGAGCGATATTTTCTGGCCTCCGAAGCCTTCTTCTTGTGAAGACCGCTCTTAGCCATATTACCATTAAATCTGCCCAGCTCTTTTAGCATGCTTGCAAACATACTAACTTTGACATTTATATAAATAAAATATAATATCTGAGTTTTTATACTTAAGTGATTTTTGAAAGAGCATCACTTTTTGTTGAACATTCGTTGCAGTGCCACTAACATGGAGCCAATATGCACTTATGATGTGGTCTTGGGGCTATTTCGCGTTCGACCTCATGTGGTGTCTAATCTACTGGACCAAGAATGCTGTAATGCTGATCCATCATTTCAGCGCACTCGCAGCTATTAATTTATACATTAGTAAACAGAACACTGGATGCATTTTCGCGTGCACTATTGCCTTATTGGAAATCACCAACCCACTTCTACAAACTCGGTGGTTCGTATAAATTTGTGAATAGTTATTTTTTCATCAATAGTTTAAGTGAAGTAAAAGTCAATTACATAGGTATTTAACGAGATAAATGGTTGGTATAAGTCCACAACACTAACAGTTAAAACGTTTGATATAGCACAAAAAGCAGAAGTAACACAAGTCTAAATAAAAGAGTTGACAATAGAATACGGTTATAGTGGTAGGCGAAATAGAAATAGGAAGATCGTTCGGAATAGCACAATTAAAGTAAAAGTCTTAGCGCGAGAACAAAGGATTAGCGAGAGTGAGCAACATGCACTCCGCGTTATATGTATGTTGGTGTGTATTGTATCGGTGTACGTGCGTGTGTATGATAATGTAGGAAAGTAGCCTACATTCACTCCCTCACCCCCCTCCCAGAGGTCATACTATGGACGATAATAGTCCGAAAATCTTACACGGCGACAAGATCTTGTCATGGGACCTGAATGGGACTTTTCAATATTTTCTGGGGATGCGGTTTGTATGGGACTGTAACTGTTACCGTCAGTTGAAATATAAGCCGGTATAAGTCTGTCGATTGAGGCAGTCATATCTTTGCATGTTACAAGGAGTTTTATCTCTTCTGGAGAGTACCTACTTTATGTGGACCTGTGTAAGCGGGTTGCAAACTGGTGCCAGAAGCGTCTTCTCTTAAGAAAACGTGTTCGCTAGTTACAAGATCCTTGTACACAAAAGTTTTTTTGTGCGCGTAAGCGTGAAGCAGGGACAGGATGTAAATTAAAAAGAAATGCAACCGCGCTGTGAAATCGGTTACATCTGACGTAACATATGTGGTGGGGTAAAGAGATTCACCAAGTAGCCTAAGGGGTTCTCCATAAGCAGGCGAAGACTGCAAGTCTTCCTTAAATGCACTACGAATGCCAAGAAGAACTAAAGGCCGAGATTCAGGTGCAATGCTCATTTGCATGGCACATGATCCTTGTATTGAGCTGCTTGTGGAAATGTTACACTAAACTTCCAGCCCACAGTATAGCAGTAGCAGTCTCGTAATGGTAAACGAAGTGTAGCACAGCCCCCTACTAGATGTAGTTAATACCTGGTAAGAGCTACTGGAAGTTGATGGATGCAGGTGGCTCAGTACCATGTTTTGTGGCATTCCTTGGGGGAGGCCTATGTTCAGCAGTGGACTTGTGATGGGCTGTAATGATGATGCAGCCATCATCGCATTTTATTTGTATAATTCACTTTGTATTGACATCTTGTTGCAATTCAAAACTGCATTCAATTCACTCCCCATACTCAATAGACCATATCTCGACAGACCCATCTCTCTACCACTCCATAACCTTTCTTTCTCATTGGTTATAGTTTATATCATTCTGGTTCTACTGCAGATATCTTCATTATCACAGCACATAAATAATGAGCATAGCATTAAATGCCACCGAACAACATTAATCTTGCTCACATCACTAGCAATGAAGAACCATGATTGCACACATTGTTCACTTTGTTTTAAAAACACATTACATTCGTAATAAAACAGTTAATATTACAGTAATTCTTTTTACAGGTTTCTCCGCAATGCAGGGCACAATAATACCATACTGTTCTATGTTGTGGAGTTTACATATTTAGTCATGTTTGTATCACTCAGAGGACTATTTGGCACATATTTAGTGTACAGAATAATCAAATCTGAAACATTTGGTGTTTATGAGAAGCTAATAACTCTTGCACTATATTTGGTTTCACTTATTTTTATTTACGAAATTGTTGGATATGTGCTATATAAATACAGAAACAAAATTGTAAGTCAAACATGGTCCCACAGACTGGTGCTATATATGCAACATGTTGCGAGTATATTACCTCTTAAGCAAATTTTTTGTTAAATTTTATAAATTTTTGGATAAGGTGCACATATGGAACTGGTCTGCCTCATACTTTTAAAAGGCATTATTACAAAAATCCAAAAATGGAGACTTAATATTAACATTGTAACCTTTTTCTTTTCAGGAAGAATTTAGGGGTTTTGGAAACGAACTAGTGTTTATATTACAGGAACAACAATAAGTCAACTTTTTGTTTATTAAAAATATTTCACATTCTTTTTCACTGCACATAAAGTACATTGTCATTTTTAAATCTGTTTTTCAATTATTCAATGCTTAAATAAAAATTTGAAAGATTTGTTATTAGAACCTATTAAAAATATTTCTAATAAAAAACAATACCAAGAAAGTAACTTATCTGTGTTACATAAATAATAAATTTAAAGTAATATTGAGTATGTAAATATATATACCATGTTTGATATATATATTTATTTTGAATATAATTTTACATTAAAAAATCCTCAACATCAACCATAACAGATATTTTGAATAATAAAATGCTTGCTAGAATATTCTAGTATGCAACTATGCTAAGAAAAAAACAGTCTTAACAACAATTGTCAATTCCGTCTATGATAGCTGTTCTTTTTATGATTTCTTCTATCACGCCAATGATTTGGATGTTGTTTACTTCGGCCCTTGTAATTTTCATTGTGATTGTCTCTATGTTGAAAGTCATCTCTATTCTGACCTTTATCCTTATTAGAATGGTAGGGATGATGTCTGTGTGACCAATTACCTTGTAAGCTGGCAATAGTCAATTTGTCATTATAATCACTTCTTTGCAAAGGATACTGAATTGCAGTTTGAGCTTCATCTCTCAATTTTTCAGTCATGTTTGCAAACTGTTGAGTAATGTTTGCTTGGTAAGCAAAGTCTATACATGGTTCTGTACCATAACTTCTTATAGGAGGTGGTAAAACCGCCATACGACCTCTGCTTTGTAGAATTAGCGTTCTGTGGAATAGAGCTGTGCCTCTAAATAATTGAATTGCGTACGGAACGGATACTTCATGACAATATGTAATAAAAGCAAAATTCTTTTGCCGACCGTCCCTGTCTCGTGGTATTCGGACTTTCTCTAGTGGCCCCGCCTGCAGAAAGAAGGTAATTGATTGTTACAAGTTTTATATAAATCATGATGATATCGTTAAGAAGTAAGTATTTAAGAAATGATGCTTTGTAACCTGTAAGAAGAGTTCGTAAAGTAATTCCTCGGTAACTTGTTCTGGAAGGTTTCCACACCATAAAGTTTTATTATCTTCCTCAATCATTGTTTATATAGTTCACGCTTAACTTCAGGTATCTTAAAACATTATGAAAATCATTATATACTACGGGTAATAACAATTATTGTTAGATTGACAATTTCATTAGCATAGACACAGATACCCTATATAGTATATTATCTATGGACACAGACTAACTAGTAGATTCTACACGAATCAGACGTAGGTACATCTCACGAACTAAACTTACTCGACTTAGCTTCTGCATCCTGATCACAGAATACTTTACTCCTAGCGGAGAATCCTGATTGGTTGTAGCAAAATGATATATGACATTCCTTTTTTTTAATTTGAAGCAGCTCTATCAGGCAAAGGACGCTCTAAATAAGCTTATTTATTAATTACTTGCAGAATTTATTTTAAAATATTGAAAATAAAATAAGGTAAATAAAAATGAAACGATGATGAAACTTAATATTTTTTATTAGTTATTAATTTTTACTTTACAATAGTTTTGTTCACAAATTTAATAATTTAATAATATATACAATATTAAAAAATTATAATCTAAACAGATCTCTACAGCACTTAAGGTTTTACATTATATAGCTTCATATTGACTTGGAATGTGCTGCGCCCCGCATCTTTACATGAAACACAATCATTTACAGCCTTAATAAAAGCATTTTGCTCCATTTGTTCATAATCAAAATTTGTTCCATATTGGTAAAAATTATATGTAACTACATAAAAATTAAAAATTGTATGTAGTTATTAAGCTTTGGCAGCTGACAACGGCTGATCAAAACTATTTTCCTGTAGAAATGAGTATGTATTGTCTGAAATTTATACCATCAAAAACATAACTTGTAAAAAAACCAAGTCTCGCAACTCAGTTCTTCTACCGTAAAAAGTTGAGAGATCCATGTAATACCAACTCGGTTAATTTATTCAGTCCCTACTTAAGGGTCCTTCTGTCTTAAATTATTACGTAGTTAGCTCACCTAACAACATCTTATAGTGACCACATAAATACTAAAAATCTTTTATATTTTCAAAAAATAGATTGACTTGGCAATCTATTTAGCGGAATATTTGTTCGCCGCCACAGCTAAAAGTTGTCGAAAATTGATACCGCAACGAATCGGTTAATATAATTTGTATTACTTGAGAGTTATGCATATTATATATACATTGTGTTTTCATGCGATTGCCAAGTCAATCTATTTTTTGAAAATATAAAAGATTTTTAGTATTTATGTGGTCACTATAAGATGTTGTTAGGTGAGCTAACTACGTAATAATTTAAGACAGAAGGACCCTTAAGTAGGGACTGAATAAATTAACCGACTTGGTATTACATGGATCTCTCAACTTTTTACGGTAGAAGAACTGAGTTGCGAGACTTGGTTTTTTTACAAGTTATGTTTTTGATGGTATCTCAATTCTTTTTGTAGATAGTTATATATACATAACCTATCTGCACCTATTATTCCATTATATTGTACATATATAGGTACACTGATTCATTCACTGCAAATGTAACTTTGTAATCCTATATATTTATTTGGGATTAAAAGTTATTTATGCAGTTAATGTATCTCCAAAACTGGACGGAAATTGTAAAATATTTTAATTTTTTCTTGATTTATATACTACACAATAATTGTATTCCAAATTTGAAGCTTCTACGTCTGCTAGAAGTGCCTAAGACGCCCATTACACGTCTAGGCAAGCGTCAATCAGTTCGATCAATAATGATTGAGGTTTGAATGATAGAATAATTTCGACATTACACGCTCATGCTGACTGATCGTCAGTCAAACCTAAATTTTCGGAGAGAATGGACCTACCTATAAACTAAGTTCATTTTCGATTCACTATTTAACTTTAATTTAATATCTTGAAAAGAAAAAGAAAAAAACGAATAGGAAAAATTGTAATATTTAATATCATTTTACCCATTTTAATTTAACGCGCGCCAATGTTCGACCTCTTGGAGCGCATAATCGATACGCGGCTTTATTTGAAACGCATTTATGGACGAAAAATAAGCTTACCTTTTATATTTATTTGTATAGGGTAATGCCAGCATAACATAGGGCTATGCCTTTTGAGTTTTTGGTATGTACTTATTGTTGGTAAGTTTTAGGGGCACTGAAATAAATTCATAACAACTTTTAATTTTAAATGGTGTATGTCACAAGCATGGAAAATGTATTAAGATAAACGACAACAATTATTTTATTTTAATGTTTTACTTCTTACCTTACTGTGGTTTAGCTTTAATCAGTTCCATTTTTCTTTTAACGCTAAACAATTAATTAAAACAAAATTATAATAAAAATTATGTGTCTTATAGTACATTGATTTCTTATAATTTAATCATCCAAGTTTTTGAATCTTTATCCTCATTTCAGCCCTTCACAAGTCCACTATAGAACATCATCCTCCATAGATTGCCTCAAGCATGGTCCTGAACCACTTTCCTTGTTATGACTTTTTCATTTATGTTCTTAACTTATAGTAAAATTAGAATTACAAAGTTGTAGTTAATTACATTTATTTTTTGTTTTTGTCTTTTTCAAAAAATAATTAAATATTGTATGGTGTTCTCAACATATACCAAATGACTGAAAAGCAAGTACGTATCATTTGCTAAATTTTTAAATCAAAAACCAATTTTAAAATATAGACGAATTGATCATAACTTCCTTAACTATAAAATAAGTCATGTTCTAATTAATGGTATTTATTTCAGTTTATGACAGCCCTGATTTATATTACGTGGCTGAAATTAGGTACTTCTTATTATGTACGTCAAACCAAATAATAGCCGGGCGGCTAACATTAAGCACTCCATACATTTCATATATCTAATTACAGCCCCATTAATTTCCACTAAAATAAAATAAAAAACTTATAAATTTAAACAAAAATAGCTGCATTACTATGTCTATTCACACTCATACTAATCAAAAAGCCTAAAGATGAGCTAATGAAAAATATGCTTAATTGTATGGGACCATAACTTGTCAAATAATTAAGAAAATTAGCGTTTTAAGTTGCGTACTTGTTTTGATTTTTAATTTAACACTGTTAGGTTTAAAACTGTGAGGTAATATTTGAAATATAATTTCCTCTAGTTAGGAAGAATTTTTAGCCGACAATATTTGTTGTTAAGACTACTAGAAATCTTATTTTTGAAGTAAAAAGGCGGAAAAGCTGTAATTAGGGGCATCCACCCTACCCGGGGTTTTTCGTGTCCCACAACTCGAGGAGAGCCTCAAAATTTAAAATTAAATCTTCTGGCTAAAGCACGTTTGGCAGGAGTGGCGACAGGCTGCGCGAGCGCGTGCGAGCCGCCTCTTCAATATATTCTGCGTCCGCCTCCATTGCTGTCTGAGCGTTGACTGACGCGTGATTGACGAAATGCCATTACACGTTCAAACAAAATTCGTTACTGATAGTTGATTGACGTAAAAATCAAAATATCCAAATATTTGTTAATCAATTTCATGCAACCGTCAATTACTACATTACACGGTAGGTTATTCGTCAATCACAACCGTGATTGTTGTAAAACTGACAGCAAAACCTACCGTGTAATGGACGTCTTAGAGTTTTGATGATCCGTCAGTCAGTGAGTGACAAAATTAAGAAACTTTGACTAGTTATAATTCTTATACTACTGGTTCAAATTTAATGAAATTTGAAATATACTGAGCTTATACAATTCTTAATTGGTTACTTAATTCAGGCTTCTAGTTTTATTCACAACGAAGTTATAGGGTTCCGAAAATGGCCTAAACTGCTTCGAGGAAAGGATGGTACGGCCGTGCCGCTTTTTTGCTCGACTTGGCGGGGCACTGCCGTGACCACAGATTACTATTAAAACTGTCTTATATATTTATTGATCTTTTTATTGTAACTATTATATTTTTATTTAGACATAGACATATGTTTATTAGCATCACTAGATACACAAAATATACATTTAGAAATAATGAGACATAAAAACATACAAAGTACCAGTAAGAATAAAATTATTAGATGATTATTTCGAATGTTTTTTTTATTTCCTCTTTCCTTATTTTCCCCCAGACTTAAGGAACATAGCCAAGTGTAGAGAGGTCGCCTGATGATGACTTTGTGTTTTAGACATAAACTTGTTAAGTCTTTTTAAATATGACCAATGTATTATATCAAGGGAATAAATTTATATTTGTACTGCAAAATTATTAATGTCCTTAGTGAGTTTGTGGGAGTTTATTAGTTTTATTAGTGGGCTGCAGCTAGAGGAGAGTCCTCTATATCGCTGCATCCGAAGTGGAGTCGCAAGGGAAGAGGATTGTTGATATGGCGATGCGCCACTCGACTATCCTCCGTGACTTTGGTGAAGCTGTACGACTTGGTGCTTGTGTTCCTGGTGCACCTTATTTGAGAAGGAAAAGGCAGAAGAGAAATCCTCAACAAAGGAAGGGTCCACGCTGGTGGGGCCGCGGATGTGTTCAAAAGTGTTTCCGTGGCCCTGCCAATGTGTAGCAAAGGTGGAACACCCTGGGGTTTTAGTAGGTGCGAGTGCGACATAATCCGTTCTTGCCCCCGCAACCCGGGCATACGTAGGCATTTCCTCATTTGATACCCGGAACAAAATCCGTTCTGTAGTTTTTTTTTTATAAGGGTGACAAACACAGTCCACCTGATGGTAAGTGGTCGCTGCGGCCCATAGTTTTTTTTTTAAGTTACGAATAAAACGTAGATAGACCAACGCAACGTCGATCTTCGTTTTATATGAAGTATAAAGCTTGCGTCTAAGTCTTAGCTATTAATTAATACATTTATTTATTGTATGGCATTATATTAATATGATACATAAGTAGAATGTACGTTACGGGTAGGCCTGAGTATAGAATTTTTATCGATAATTTTGTCTTACTGTCTTATCTCTATTATTAGTTCCATGGATGTTCACTTCTGCTGTCAGCGCCAAAATAGCGAAAATCGATTCGCCTCATTATGTCGCGCTGTATAGCCAATCCATA